GGGGAAAAAGACCGAAAGAGGCTCAGGGCTGAGGAAAATGCGCAGGGGCTGGAGGGATTTATGTGCGATTTGATTTTACATGAACATCTTGTGCACAAGAAGAGGCGACTGGGCACCTGTTACTGGTGAGTTAATAGCTTAGGCACGCGTGGTAACAGGGACACAGCACCGTGGAGACCCGATCAGCTCATGTGGCCACAAATTACACGAGTGACCAGAGAGAGGCCGTAGAATCTCTGCCGGGGAATCTCTGAAAGATAAGGTGCACACCACCCGGCCTCCTTTGAGGGGCTCTGAAATGCAGGTGGAGCGCAACTCTTAGAACCCTCTGAATCACGAGGACGAGGACCAGCAGCTACTTCTGTGCACGAAAAGCGTCGCACTCTGCGGCTAACTCAGGGGTGTGCCCTTGAGCAAGTCACTGGCCTGTTCTGTCTCTTTTTTTTTTTTTGAGTCGGAGTCTCACTCTGTTGCCCAGACTGGAGGGCAGGGGCCGCTCCTGGCCACTGCAGCCTGGACCTGCTGGACTCCGGCGATCCTTCTGCCCCAGCCTTCCAAGGAGCTAGAACTACAGGCACTCGCACTACCACACCCGGCTAATTTTTTTATTTATTGTAGAGTTGAAGTCTCGCCAAGTTGCCCGGGTGGGTCTCGAACCCGCGGGCTCAGGCGATCCACTCACCTCAGCCTCCCAAAGCGCGGGATTACAGGCTGAGCCACCCAACCCGGCTCTGTTTCCTTTTCATTTGCTGCAGGATGAGGGATTAGACTAATTGACCTCTTAAAGTCTCTTGCGGCTCTGACACTCCATGATTAAATGGAATAATGTGTGAGCAATTGCTTTGAAAACTGCAGGGTACTGGGGGTCTTTTTGTTGTTATTTTTATACAGATAGAGATGACCTGAGAGTTCATTAAGCTCTGAGACTGGTTGTAAATCAGGCCGTCCACTGCCTACCAGCTGAGACTGAGACAGGGCATTTGTTTGGCCACAGGGTTTCTCCAGGCCCGTGAATCAGTATTATTGCTTCTGCTTCTCCCGTCCACCCCGAGCCTGGTTGTGCAGCCGGAGCCAGTCACTGTTCTCACTCTGCCTTGGTTTCTACACCTCAGCTTGCCTTTTCCTCCCTCCTGTGATTCAGATGAATCGTGCTGTGCCTTTGCCAAGCTTGGATTCCCTGGAAACAAGACTGCAAGTCTGGAGGAAAGAGAAACAAGAACCAGCCTGGTTTGCCACAACTGGCTTTTTACCATTCCCCTTTCTCTTACTCTGTAATTTGTCCCAGTCTACTGGGGGCTCGGGGATTCGTGGAGATGGGGAAGACAGAGAAAGACAATGACTGGGAACAGTCGTAAAGGAGCAAAACCAATACTCACCAATTCAGAAGCAGGGGACTTCACCTAGGCTACCAGGAGAATCAAACAATCCTTATACACTATTAAAAAAGAAAATTGCTAAAAACGATGGGAGCTTAGTGGAGAGTTTGGCTCTGCTTAGGCAGGTCAGAGCCATCTTCAGGGGAGGTGATAGCTGGGATATTTCTTAAGGCGGGGGAAGAATTTTCCTTTTAGTGAGAGGTCCATCTAGGCTGAGGACAGGGCCTGAGCAAGGCAGAGAGACGGGCGATGACACGGTTGGGCTTGGGTCTCTTGGGAAAGGCCAGTCACCAGGGGTGTTGCGAGCTCAGGTGAGGATGGCAGAACTGGAGTTGCAAGACAGGACTGTGAGTGGTCCTGTCTGTCCTGTTAAGGAATTTGGACTTTATTCTGCAGGAAGTGGAAAGCAAATAGGACAGATGGGAGAGGTCAGTGGTGAAGAACATTGTTTTTCCAATCTCAGGTTATACAGTGAAATTCAGGTCATGACTGGCATTTTAAAAACATCAAGAAGTACCTTGGGAGGCTGAGGTGTGTGGATTGCCTGAGCCTGTGGGTTCGAGAACCCCCCCCCCGGCAACTTGGCAAGACCTCATCTCTACAATAAATCAAAAAATTAACCGGGTGTGGTAGCACGCGCCTGTAGTTCCAGCTACTTGGAAGGCTGAGGCGGAAGGATTGCAGGAGCCCAGCAGGTTGAGGCTGCGATGGCCGGGAGAGGCCACTACGCTCCAGTCTGGGCGACAGAGTGAGACTCCAACTCAAAATAAATAAATAAATAAAACATCAAGAAAAGTATAGAATGGGATAGACAATGTCTAGGTCCATGCAATGCATGCCGTACGTATTGTTTCATGAAATATATGTGTTTGTGTGTGTGTTCTGGGTCATGGTATAAAATATACTCATTACTTTAGGTCATGGTCAGAAAAGTCTGAAATTCACTGGAATTGCAGATCTTTCATGCTGAATTAGAGGAAGGGTGGGTTGGGGCGGGGGAAAGAGTAGGAATTCTTGGAAACAGGATAGGTGACTGGTCTTCCCTCCCACTTCAAGTTCTTGAGAAGGACATTGCTTAAGCTTTCCAGAGAGTTTCCTGTTCTCTTCCAAGACCTCCTCCACAGAGGAAAGGTGATTGCATTTGCTCTGCAGAGTAGTGGAGGGGCTCGTTGATGTACTTGGTACTCTACTTTGTTGGCCTCACAGTGCATGTCCTGTGGTCCAATCGTTGGCTCGGTTCCTTCCCATCTCTGCCACAAGACCCACGTGGCCCTGATACAAATCATAACCCTGGAACTTAAAAACGATGGTAATTTTCCATTTTTCTTACTTTTCTTTTGTTGAGTTGGAGTCTCACTCAGTCACTGGAATGCCAGACTGGAGTGCAATGGCACACTCCCGGCCACCGCAGCCTCAAACTGCTGCGCTCTAGCGATCCTTCCGCCTCAGCCTTCCAAGTAGCCGGAGCTACAGGTGCACGCTACCACACCCGGCTAATTTTTGATTTATTAAAGAGACGAGATCTCGCCAAGTTGGTCGGATGGGTCTTGAACCCATGGGCTCAGGTAATCCACTCGTTTTGGCCTCCCAAAGTGCTGGGATGACAGGCTGAGCCACTGAGCCCGGCCTGTAGTTTTCCATACTTCTAATGAAACATTATGCAATTACTATGGCCAACGTTTTGGGGTAGTACTACCAGTGACTGCTATCCAGACATCAGTGAGGATGGAGACATCATCCACCATGCGTGAATAACGGCCTAATGTTTAAAGCACTAAGGAAGGCGATTTCACAATCTCCCCTGGTCAGCAATACCAGTGTCTTAACAGACCTGAGGGTGGAAGTGCTCACTGGGGACAGTGTAGTTCCCTCTGGATGCAGTTATAGCACATCTCTTTTGCCTTGAGAAAACAGGAGGGCAGCTGGCATCTATCTGCCCGTGACACACCCATGACTTGAAGACTGCTTCGAGGAGTCTGTGTGCTTTTTCCCAGGCAGCCTGACATGCAGGAGGGGCCCATGTACTTTCCTGAGGCCAGCCATGTGGAGAATGTTGCTCTCTTGCTCTAATACAACCTGGTCCAGTCTGTTTCTTTTCAAGGTGACCGACTTTGTGCACTTTTAGTTACACGTTGTGCACGGCCATGCCCTCCTCTCCTCCTTATCCTTCCCCAAACCAAACCTATGCGAATGGCAGGTACTGCTTCTGTTCAGGTAACTCTAGAGACACAGCCTCTTGGGTGCGCACCTTCAGGACAAACATACCCCCATCTCTCTTCGGACTCAACCGATGTGCATATTCTTCGTATTTGAGCTGGGACTTTTCGAGTTCCCCGATCCTGACTGGCTTCTAATCGATAATAACAAGAGCAGCCTCCCACAATCTGAACACCACTGTGTGCCAAGCTCTGTGCCAGGCACCTTATAGATTCTGCAAACCTAGAGATATTATATCTCTTTTATGGATAAAGAAACTGAGGCTTGGGTATTGTTCACAATAGCACAACCAGTTTATAAGCAAGTTGAGTTTCAAAGTTAAGTTTTTCTAGATTGTAATCCCACTCTTTGACTCCTGATAACGCTATTTTCCCTGACCCCCTTTGGGAGCTTGGAATACCATCTTTCTGTCTGTCTCTCTCTCTCTCCCTCCCCATTTTAGCTTAGAAAAATCATGGAAATCCTTTTTAGAGAGAAGGTCTGCATGGAATTTAGTCCTGTATTGGGTCTTATGTGGAGGAAGGATTTCCAAAAGTTACGATGTCCGGATCCCTGCCTCTTGACAAACTTCTCTAGCAGTGAGAGGAGGGGCTGTTCTCAGTATCAGGTAGAGACAGAGAGAGGAGGAAAGTGCTGCTATTCACACAGCTCTAGGTCTAAAGAAGCTTGAGCTGAGTCAGCTGTGCAACCCACTGTACCTATCCCACACCTCTTTCTTCACCATTTATTCGTTCCTGATTGCGGCTCTGCCCTCCATCTCTGCCTTCCTTTGGTCATCAACTATCGTTTACTGTGGCGGTCATTCCACAAATATTCGAGTAGGGCAGAAGACCAGCCATCAGTCAAGAAGAATGACGTTCTTCTTGACAGTTATCCAAGACTTAGGACACTGACCGTTCTGTGGCCAAGGGTAGGATCCAGGCTGTTCAGATGCATAGGGAGGGCATGAGGGGGAAGTATACACATCTGCAACTGCCAGGCTGGAAGAGCATCCTTTTGACCAACATAGGCACCTTACCTGACGTAACTGCTGTCCTTTCTTCCCTCTACTTGGAACAAGGGGTTCTAAGAGTTTCCTGAGTTGGAATGCCTTCTGTGGGTCCTCTGAGCCAGCCTCTCCCATCTGACGCAGGAATCTGCACTGGAACTTCCCTCACATTGCTCATCTAGCTTCTTGGACACCCACAGATATGAGCTAACTTGTATCTACTGCGTTTTTGGAAAGCTTTATTTGTTCGGCAATTCATAAAACTCTCTGTTGAGCTTGATCCAGTTCCCCAGTACTTCCCCCCTTGGGTCCCCTTTCTACTTCTTGGGCTGACATGGAGAAGCTCTAACCCCCCTTCCCTGTGACAGCCCTTCAAAGATCCGAAGGCAGACATGGTGTCATCCTTAGTCTTCCTCAGTCTGAGGATGTCCAGTTTGTGCCAGTTTGGCAGCTGTGCTGGTGCTCTTGGTAACACCAATCTCACTTGCAGGGCATACCTGAGGAAATGAATAAGTAATGAGCTTTTACCATGTCCCAGCCCCTCTCCAAAACGTTGTCTAATTCTGTTCTCATGTCCAACCTGTGGGATAAGAACTCTTTATATTTTATAGACAGGAGAACAAATTCATTAGGTTAGGGGTTTAGGCCAGGATCATGGAGTTGGCAATGGACAGAACTAGCACGTTAATATGAGCCTTTTCCTCGACGTATGAGCCTCGCCAGGGCAGGGATGGTGCAAGACATCAGAGATGCAGCCTTGTCCTTCTTAGCTAAGTATGAGGAGAGAGGTGAGATGATCTGGATGTCTGCAGTCTTAAATCTTACTTGGTAGACCGTTTTCCATCTGCATTTCTCCCCGCTGATTCTGGCTATGGATTCTAACAAGATCCAGGGCAGCCCCTCCATTTTTGCCAGTGGAGAAACTGAGCAGAGAGATGAGTGATCTTTGTCCATGTTGACTCGGACTGAGTATCAAGATAAGAATTAAATTTCCAAATCTCAAGGACAATTGCTTGAATGCACAAACAGAAATGGCTAATTTCACATGTTTGCATGGAGCAGAAAATATTGGAGACATTTGTCACTTTTCCATAATATTTTTGGAATACAGGAGCCCTCTGGTGGCCAAAATAGTAGCTGGAAGGTGTCCTTGGGAAAGTTAGCTGAGATTTCCTACCAGAACTCCCCTTGGTGATCTCCGGCTTTGTTTGGGGTCACCCCCTTTCCATTTTGCCTCTTCCTATTCTCGTGGAGGGTTACTTGCTCTCTGCACACCCTTTTTTCTTCTCTCCCTCTCGAGTTCCTTTCTGCACCTTCCCCTCCAGCCCCAGCTGTCACCCCTTATCCCCCTGGAATCTCTCCTCCCTGTCATCTCTGGCCTCAGAGGACCCTTTCTGAAATCTGGCCAGTTCCCCTGTGGCAGGTGCTGAGCGACAGCTGCTGCCTGTGCTGCTGCTTCAGAAATGTGGAATTCAAATCCCTTGTGGGTGTTTAGAGCCTGCAGATGGATTAACTGATGATGCCTGTTCATCAACAAGCATTTGGAGCGTCCTACTGAGCATGCGGGGAGGGGTGGTGGTCCTGGTCATCCCCCAGAAGCAAGTTCTCTTGGAAGAGCAGGTGAGCTTCCTCCCACTTGGGCCCAAGGAGCTGGCCACACAGTGCCTGGTTCCTGGGGTTGACCAGCTATCCTGAGCTGAGCCATTCTAGGTTTCTCTGTATGGCTCTTAATTGTGCAGAAGTCTGCTGTCCTCATTATCGTCCTCATGGAACGGTCTATTCTGTAAGGTCATGCCACACAATAGCCAATAAATAGCAAATGAAGACCCACAAAATAGCTAATCCACCTGTTGGTAATTAAGAATTAACCATTGATCCAGAGGCAGAAGCTACACTGGCGGATTCGGTGAACCAATGAAGAGGGAGAAAGCTAAGACAGGGCAGGGGCAGAAACTTGGATTAAGATTTTAGATACAGTCATCCTGGCTTCTAGCACAGCAAGGTAATAGGGGCAGCGTGCCACTTAGCACTTTGGACTCTTGAGGAAAAGACCTTCTATAAAATAAGCTGGTGACTTTATTACATGATGGTGCTTAACAATTAGTGTCTTAATAACAGGGCAATTGGGTGAGATAGGCCAATTCATTACCCTCACTGCAGAGATAATCAGGAAAGCCTTCACAGGTTCCAGAGTATGTTGCAAGAGGGTGGAGTACAGGGCTCCTGGACCTGTGAGAAGGTGCAGCCAGAAGCAGGGCTCTGGGGAGAATCATAAAGTTTAGAAAGCTACAGGTTTCCGTTGTCTGTAAAGAACTGGCTAGGGAGGGCAAAGAGGGTGCTACGGTCATTGCACTAATTCACACGGTCCAGCTCTGCGGAGAGATTGTGCAGTAGTGACAAAATGCAGCTGGGTTCCTACTGCCACTACCTGCCCAGAAAACAGGGGAGGCCTTTGGATGAAGCGAGATGAATTTAGCCTCTGACTATAAAGACTCGGGCAAGATCAGAAAGTCTTGGCTGGAGGCTGCGGAATTCTCCCCTCTAGATTGTGAGAAAGCACAGTGGTGTCTTTTTGGAGGCCCACAGGCGCTTGTGGGGGAAGGATGCACAGGAGTTGACCTCAGGATGTTCTTCCCAGGCCTGTCATTTTGGAACCGTCTCAGGCTTCTTGTTTCCCAGCCTTTCATGGATTTTAAAGTATGTCACTTCCAGGGGTCTGGAGTGAAAGGGTGGTGCTGGCGTGTGTGCTAAGTCCATCATCTTCCTCCAACTTGCCGTCTTCCTTCTCGTCTTCACCTCCTGCCAAACCACAGAAGCCTCCTAGCTTCTGACATAGCTTACAGGACTTTCTATAATTTTGCTTTCCCACTAGGAACCCTTACGTGAAGGCAGCTGTGCATGGTTGGTACAGTTTTTCCCCTTGGTTCCATGTGTGTGCACTTAACATGCTGTCCTCTTCCGGTAGAGCCGTCCGCAGTGATGTGGTTGGTTCTCTGTTCTCACACAGAGCTTCCGGCAAACACCCTGGACCACGTCTATTAAATGTGCGTTGTGTCTCACGTGGCTTCCCCAGGCCTCAGTGTCCACGTGGATGCAATGGGGAGATTTGAACCAGATAACCCTGAAGGGCATCTCCAGCTCTGAAATGTACTACTTATCTTCCATGAGTAGTGGAAGGCTCCAAAAGAGGCTGCCAGCATCTCAGGGGCAGGGGAGACCCTTGCCTGTGGTGTGCCCAGGGTTCCCGCTGGATCCTGGCCCTTCAAGGCAGGGTGCAGGGGTTGGGAGTGAGAAACATTCAAGTACCTGCTGGTAGATGAACCGCATTCGGTCGCTCCCCAAGAGAAAGCTAACGTGGGGCTTGAGGGGAAAGAGACATCGAAGAGGCGGAAGGACAGGTTCTTTTACCTCTTACCTGTGTGTCTCCTGTGCGCTGTGTTCTTGACCTCCACTCATTAGGAACTGCCAGGAGTCACCCACGGCTGGCCCGAGCTCTGTAGGAGAAGAACATTAACAGCTGCACGTTCAAGCTCATGCTTCAAAGCAGCGGTTGGGGCTGAACTGTCAAGAGCCGGAGAAAAATGCTCCTCACCCCGGTAGGAGCTGGGAGAACTCTCCTTTCTCACGGCAGGGCGGGATTTATGCTTTTCTATGAAAATGTTTGTGTCAGCGGGCAAAAAAAGGCTAGAGGGTTTGGGCACGGAGCCGAGGCTTTTTTGAAGGGCAGGATTCCTCAGCTGTCATCAATACCAGTGGAAGGGGAAACAGGTGGTGAATCCCCGCTTTCCTTGCACAAATATCTTAAGTGCGTCATGAAGCCCCTCTGTCCTCCCACCCCGCAGTGTCTTCGTGCTTGCAGCTTCGGAGGCCGGAGCTTCTCCCCGACCAAGTGGGAGACCCACTTTGCCATTCACCGCTGGTGCCTGGGCCGAGCAGACTTTGGTCCCAGGAGTCCCATTCCCTCCCTCAGATGACCGGGGAAGAGGCTGGTCCACCTTCCTGCTCTCGGTTGGCTTAGGGGTTGTCCCTGGAAACATGTCTTGTTCTATTTCTGATAGCCAAGCTCCAAAATAAAAGAGTTATAGTTGCCAGACGGGCAAGGTGGGAAGTCTTGGCAGCGGCTTTGGGCGAAACCAGGAAGAACATGATGAGGCCAATTGAAAGAGAACGTCACTGGTTTCTGACGAGGGGGTGCGTGCGTGTCAGAGGAGCAGGGCCGTTGGGGCGGACTTTTCTCGAAAGGCGGAGAGTGAGGAACAGAGAGAGGGGCTCTGCGTCCCACTCAGAGAAGGGGAATGCTCTGAGAAGCGGAGGAGGCTATCAAGTAAGGAGGCAGAGTATTATCTGAGGGTCTCTTGAAAAAATCAGTAGGTCTTGCAGAAATAGAGGAGCCGGTCAAGCTCACTCTGTGAGCCTGGGGATGGGTCTGCTTACATCAGCAGAGGGGAGAGAGAGACCCAGAGCTTAGGGCTGCAGTGCGCCCTGTTAAGGTCTTTCAGGCCGGTCCTTTCATTTTGCAGGCGAATAAGCCAGGGCTTATTGTTGGAGCACTTGAGAAGTTCAGACTTTTTCTAGTGCGGGACATTTTCTTTTATGGCCCTGGGAGAAAAACGGAGTTTGGAGAGAAACAGATTCAAGTGTGACCTTGGAGGATAAGCACACCCACCTCTTGGGGCTGTCGCGAGTAAATGAGAAAGTGTGTGCAAAAGCCCCTGCCCCAAGCTTGGCACAGTGCCTAACAACTCTTGATGAATAGTCGCACCCTTCCTTTATGACTACAGCTGGACTTGGCTAATTGTGATGACGCTCTGTTGTGAGAGGGGACGGACAGACATTCGCCAAGTGATGACTATGCCAGGCACACGCGCGTTGTGGTCTAGACAATCAATGACGAGGGTCACATGAGTCTGAGGAACAACTGTAAAAATATGAACCGTTGCAGTAACAGAGAGTAGCAGTGGTGGTGAGGGCCAGGCCCTAGAGACAATATAAGAAATGAGGGAAGGCGACAGGAAAGGGGAAGCTTTTCTGGAACCTAGCCCTTTAGCGGACTTCAGTTTTCGATAGCGGGTCATCTCGGAGCAGGAGCTCTCTGTGGTCATTCGTTCATTCCCTGGACACTTATGGAGGGCCTCCTATAGGACAGTCCCTTTCCTAGGAGCTGGACACAAAGCGGCCCACAAAGGCAAGGTCTTCTCCATAAATGGAGATGACATTCTGGTGGAGGAAATAAACAAACAAGGAAATAGATAACTTTTTTTTTTGAGTCGGAGTCTCACTCTGTCGCCCAGACTGGAGTGCAGTGGCCGCTCCCGGCCACCGCGGCCTCGACCTGCTGGGCTCCCAGTGATCCTTCCGCCTCAGCCTTCCGAGTAGCCGGAACGACAGGCGCGTGCTACCACGCCCGGCTGATTTTTACTTATTGCATAGACGAGGTCTCACCGAGTTGCCTGGGCGGGTCTTGAACCCGCGGGCTCAGGCAATCCACTTGCCTCGGCCTCCCAAAGTGCTGGGATGACAGGCCGAGCCACCGAGCCCGGCCCACATGTTTTTAAGTAGCAACCGGACTTATTTAAAACCAAGGCAAAGGGATCGAGACGATGGGAGGGACAGCTGTTTTCGATAAGGAGAACGTCTCTGAGGCGGTGACACTTGGGTAGAGATCTGAACGGGAAGGGGAGATGGTCCTGTGAGTACCATGGGTGGGGCATGGATTCCAGGTGGAGGGAGAAGCATGTTCAAAGGCCCTATAAGGCATGTTTAAAGGCCATACAAGCCGGGCTCGGTGGCTCAGCCTGTAATCCCACGCTTTGGGAGGCTGAGGTGAGTGGATTGCCTGAGCCCGCAGGTTTGAGACCCGCCTGGACAACTTGGTGAGACCTCGTCTCTACAATAAATCAAAAAAATGAGCCGGGCATGGTAGTGCATGTCTGTAGGTCCGGCTACTTGGAAGGCTGAGGCGGAAGGATCGCCGGAGCCCAGCAGGTCGAGGCTGCGGTGGCCGGGAGCGGCCACTGCACTCCAGTCTGGGCGACGGAGTGACACTCCAATCAAAAAAGAAAAAAGGAAAAATAAAGTCCATACACAGGATGTGTAAGGGCCCTACAAAGAACGTTCAAAGGTCCTACCAATCACATATAAAGGCCCTAAGATGGAACCACGAGGCCGTGCGTCTGGAATGTGATGTTGATTCATGGCTGGAGATCTACGTTCTGCCTCAGCCTGAATGCAGGAAAGTGAAGACTCAGTGGGAGGAGACTCTTCTCTGGAGAACTCAGAAACAGACCTGGGACAACCCTCTCAGGATAAGGCTAGCAGTGAAGGAGCAGACGGGGGACCCTGCATCTTCGAACCTTCTAAGACATGAGAAGAGCCCTGAAGGCACTTGGTGACTAGAAGTGAGAATCTGAGAAAGGACACCTAGAATCGGAACACGGAGCCATGTGACTCTGTACTGGCCGAGACTCTGTCATTGTCAAGTACCCAGATGCAAATTCATCAGCAGCCTCAGAGGACTAGGAAACTTTCCCCAAATCCTCACTTTTCCTCACTAACCTGCTTGGGATCATCAGATATGAATTTTTGCAGTTGCCTTTAAAAATATTTATACTGGGCTGGGCTCAGTGGCTCAGCCTATAATCTCAGTGCTTTGGGAGGCCAAAGTGAGTGGACTGCCTGAGCCTGCGGGTTTGAGACCCACCCGGGCAGCTCGGTGAGACCTCGTGTCTACAATAAATTAAAAATTAGCTGGGCGTGATAAGCGCGCGCCTGTAATTCCGGCTACTTGGAAGGCTGAGGTGGACGGATTGCCGGAGCCCAGCAGGTCGAGGCTGCAGTGGCCAGGGGCGGCCACTGCATTCCAGTCTGGGTGACAGAGCGAGACTCCAACTAAAGAAAAAAAAAATATTTATACTGGTTGAACTCTGTGGCTCAGCCTGTCATCCCAGCACTTTGGGAGGCCAAGGTGAGTGGATTGCCTGAGCCCGTGTTTTCAAGACCCGCCCAGGCAACTTGGCAAGACCTCGTCTCTACAATAAATTAAAAACTGGCCGGGCATGGTAGAGTGCACCTGTAGTTCCGGCTACTCGGAAGGCTGAGGTGGATGGATCTCTGGAGCCCAGCAGGTTGACGCCGGGGAGCTTGTGAGCGTGCCACTGCATCCCAGCGTGGGTGACAGAGTGAGACTTCAACTCAAAAAAACAAACAAGCAAAAACCCAAAAACATTTATACTGCACCACAGTATTGTCTCTGGTGGACTGCACAGCAGGAAGTGAGCGGCCGGTGAGTGAGCAAAGCTTCATCTATATTTACAACCGCTTGCTCGCATTATTGCCTGAGTTCTACCTTCTGTCACATCAGCGGTGGCATTAGATTCTCATAAGAGCACGAACCCTGTTGTGAACTGTGCCTGTGAGGGATGTATGCTGCACACCCTTATGAGAATCTACTGCCTGGTGACCCGAGGTGGAGCTGAGGCAGAGAGGTCTGACTGCTCATCCCCGCTCCCCCAAGTCCGTGGAGAACTTGTCTTCCATGAAACCGGCCCCTGATGCCAAAAAGGTTGGGGACTGCTGCCTTAGACCACATCCAATGCACACAGTTCCCACAGACACGAAGCACCCAGCACAGAGTCCTGCACACAGTTTGACGAGATGAGTGCCTATTATCCGATAAGCACCATAGGTTTGCCACTCGCCTACTAAAAGGCCTGCGTTTAAATTTATCCTACCTTTTCTCCCATCCAGGCTTCCAGGGTGACCCCAGGCTGTAGGCTTATGGAAGCGACAAGCCAGCTATATGACTTTCTAAATGTCACTCATCTCTGTCTGCACTGTTCTCCCCACCACTGATGGGTTCTTGCGGCTCCGTGGCATGGTGAGAGCAGCACTGGGCTGGGGGCACTGCTTCTACGAGTGACTTGCTGTGTGACCTTGTAGCCAAACCTGGATGCCAGGCTACTCATTCCTGCGTTTTCTAGGCCACTGGCGCAAGATGTTAAGAAGACTGAATCGACAGCATGTGCGCTTTGTGAGCCATCAAGTGTACACGGAGGGCGCAGGCATCGTGCCAGGGACCCTCTCGCCAGCCTCCTCCAGATCATTCCAGTTACCTCTTGCGGAACCTTTCCAGCTGTTAAGTTCTGATTTCCTTTTCTGGGGAGGTGGGGTGGGGGGAGGGGTGTAAGTGAACACTGAATTTGCCCAATGACTAACTAAGGTTGTTGACTTTGGACTGTGATGTGCTACCTCGACTCATCCCCCAACCCTTTAGGAGTCCCTGGAGTCCATTGGGTCGATAGCTTAACGGAATCGTCTATCAGGATCCCCAGGTTCTTTCCAAGGACAGAAATATTCAGAACCCAGTTTCCTGTCGTTCTTGTGAGTTCGACGCCCTGCATGAGGAATGAGCTTCTGGTCTGTGCTGTCCATTGTAACTAGAGGCCTCGAGAGTATGGAAGGAGTGTAAGGAACACTCGAGGAGCACAGGTCAAACGGGAATGAAGAGTGCACACTTGAGGGTGACAGCATGCAAAACGAAGTCAGTGACAATCTACCGGAACCGAGTGCCAAGGAACACGGCGGCGCCAGAGGAAGAGGGCTGGCCTTTGCAATATGGCTGCCTTCTCTGCCAGATGTCTGCTGATCCAGAGTGTCATCTTATGCCATTGTCTGCAGCCCGGTAAATGTCGACAGGATGGGGCCGGGGCGCTTCCTTGTACGACGGGGAGTGGCTTGTAGGGGGAAAGGGCACCCCATCCTGAAAGTGAGAGGCTCCACCAAGGTCTGGAAGACCAGGGGGGAGAGAGGAAGGCTGGATCAGGGCTTAGAAACAGAGCCAAACTTGGCTCGGCAGGGAGTTTCCCGGGCACGAGGACCCCGCGGGGTTTGATACCAGGGCCTACCTGTGACTCTGCTCAGCACAAGCCCTGGCAGGAGGCTTTGACTCGCCGGGGCTGAAAGGGAGCCTGGACCTTGTCACTGAGACCGTCCTTTGTCAGGCCCAGGAGGCTCTACAGCGTTACTCCAGAGCATTCCGCTTCCCTCCGGCCTCATTACGCAGTACATTCGCTGTGGGAACCAAACCCATTACAAAAAGGAGGGGGTGGAATTGGCACACGGGGAAAGGCCTTCTCAGATCAAGCTAACAACTTGTGCCTATTAACTAAAGAAGATCATTAGAAAATTCCCATCTCCTTCTCTCCTCTCTCCCCGCCCGCCTCCACCCCCTCCGCCTGCGTGTCAGATGCGGCGGGAGAGCGGGCTCACGTGAGTTCGCCTGTTTGCTGCGCACACACCCAGCCTTAAAGGGGCCTCGCTGAGGGCTTTGCAGAAGAGCCAGCTTTGGGTGGCGACGAGGCCTTGCTTTGAGGTTGAGTCCGATTCTAAACGAACAGGACTTTTCTCCCCTCTCAAAGGGGTTCTTTTTTGGAATCAGGGAAGACAGTGACCCAAATAAAATAAGTTGCACTTCATGATCATTTTCTATCTTCTGCAATAAAACAGGCCAAGGGGAAAGGTTTTGTTTCCACTGCTCAACAATATAAATCTTATAAAAGCTGGCATAGCACTTTGAGATGAATCAATTTAAGCCTGTTTTTTTTTTACAGATGGAGCCGCCAAAGCCCAGCGAGAGTAAATGGTGTGTCCCACACCTTAGGAGAAGGACGTGGGTCTCCTGCTTGCAAGTCTGGGTCTTCCTTTTCCAGCAGGCTTCCTCCATTTGGCCCGTTTTTTGTTGTTGTTCTCTTTCAGTGTCTGTTAGCCGTCTTATCCCCAGACTCCCTCCTTGGCTACGCTCCTTGCTAGGTTGGACAGCGTCCTCAAAGAAATCCATCAAAGCACCTTTGACATGAGGCCACAGACCAAATACTGAGTATCAGTGGGAGCCTTGTCACTTGTTCTTCTCCTCTCCCCCGTGTTAAAAAAAAAAAAACATAGACATAAATCCCACACAAAAAATGGTCCAGGGCAAAGGCCTTCTTAGGCTTTGTTATTCCTCGCCCTCCCTGAAACATAAGGGGCGCCCCTTCCCCATCTCTCTCAGGGCTTCCTCTCCACCCCCATTTCTGTTTCCAGTGGCAGCCCCTACCCAGACCTGGACGTGCCTTCGCGTTTGTGTGCACCTTCCTCGGAATGTTCAGGCCGCGTCTAAAACGGCTCAATTGAAGAGGGGGATGTAGAGAAAAGCCCCACGTGTGGCTCAGGTCACCGGAGGAAGCGCAGCCATCTTCGTTGTGTGGGACAGGGAGAAGAGAGATTTTCCTCCTTAAATCAGAATGCGTGTGTGTGTGTGTGTGTGTGTGTGTGTGTGTGTTGCTACACTCTGTAAAAAGGTCTGATTAGCATTTCCTTTTCAGTTGTTCCTCCGCCATCCCAGCTGCACCAATTGTGGTCAGTAAAGCAGAATTGGTGCACGAGCAATTCAGGGACGCAGCTGAAAGGGAGAGTGAGGAAAAAACAAGGGAGTGAGTTTCCTTAGAGCTTGAAGAAACTACTCCAATTAAAAGAGAGAGAGAGGGAAGAGAGGAGATGAGATACTTGGAGAGAGTATACAAAAAGATTCCAAAGAAAGAGGAACCCGGATTCAATGAAGTAAGGGACAGAGGTGGCTCAAAATATCCATGCTGAGAAATAGATAACAAAAAGGCACATGTAGAAAAATGCAAAAAGAAAAATTTTCAGAACAACAAATAGGACAGAAAAGGCTGGAGTTTTGAGAAACGAAAATATAGAAATAGAGATTTCCTTATTTCCTTTCCCTGGTTTTTCTTTTTATTAATGCTTCATTTATTTTTTTTTTTTCAGCCAGGTTCGGTGGCTCAGCCTGTAATCCCGTGCTTTGGGAGGCCGAGGTGAGTGGATTGCTTGAGCCCACGGGTTTGAGACCCGCCTGGGCAACTTGGCGAGACCTCATCTCTACAATAAATCAAAACTAGCCGGGCATGGTAGCGCGCGCCTGTAGTTCCAGCTACTCGGAAGGCTGAGGCGGAAGGATCGCCGGAGCCCAGCAGGTCGAGGCTGCGGTGGCCGGAAGTGGCCACTGCACTCCAGTCTGGGGGACAGAGTGAGACTCCAACTCAAAAAAAAATTTTTTTTTTTCTCTAATAGAAGTAAATGAAATTGCTGGGTCTTCAGTCTCAGAAAAGAATTGGATGCTGACCTTTGAGTGACTTGTCCCCCGGGATTAGGTTTGATCCAACCATCCTCACTTTGAGACTAGACTTGTATTCCTTCCCAGGTTCCCCTTTTGACCTTAAACACATTTCCATTCTGCTCAATGGCCTTCTCCTTCCCTTGAATACCAATGGGATGTTGGGACACTTAAAAAAAAAAGTCTATAACTTTATTGACTGTTTTTCCTTCAGAATTTAAAAAACAAAAACAAAAAACAGCACATGAAAACCAGTGTCTAATCCCAAAGTCTTAACTCAGTTGATTGCCAGAAGAACATCGCCATCTTGTTCCTCTGAACAACCACTGTGAAGACTCAAATTACACAGCAAGTCCCAGCTTCTGCCCGCCCTAAGACATTGCCAGTCTTCAAACCATGTTGCCAACTCCAGGGACTTCAACTCTCTGCCAATCTCAGCCCTCATCTGCTGAGACTGGGTCTTCTCGATGGCTCTCAGGGTGGGTCGAGGCGGAATTAGAGAGAGAATCACAGTCTGGGTCTACCATCACCTCCCAACAGCTTGCCAGCCAGGAAATCATTTCCAGACTGCCTTTGTCGCCACCATTTCTCTCCCTCTCTCTTCTCCACACTTTGTTGCTATCGCGATTTCATGTGGCGATGGACTCAGCGCCCCTTAAGCAACTTGAGAAGTGGCTCAGTGACTCGCTTCCCTGAGTCAAAAAGAAAACAAAGTACCTCCATGATCTTCCTGCCATTATGATCAAGTCAAAAAGGGAAAAACACTGTTGAGAAGGGTTGCCCTAGAGGAGCCACGGAATCCTCTCCCCATAGAGGTGGCTCCATGGATAGCTCTTGATGGTGCAGGAGGCAGATATTCTGGAGTCAAGGAGGTGTGATGGGGAAACACATTTATTTTCCCCTTTTGCCCTTCCCTGCTGCCCCATCTGTGCCTTCTTCTTAGTAGATCTCCTGGGCTCTGGCTCCTGGCATTTGGTGGAAGCCTTGGATTCTGCCTCGGCAGCTCTCGCTTGGCCTCCAAACCCACAGCAGATTCGCTCCTCCGAGAACTGCCGTCACCACACAGGAACTCGACCAGCTCGTCTTCCTTTGGCTCACTCTGCTTCAGCTCCACAGACTCTGGGTCCAGCACCCCGGACTCCAGGAAGAGCTGCTGAGCCTCGCGTGGAGCCAGTTTTCTGGCACAGGGTGCTTGTTGGGGTCCAGCTGCCACACGACCTCCTCGATGCTCTTTGGCTTCTGGATGAGGTCACAGCCCGCTTGGGCCCAGTGCCCTGGATGCTCTCACAGTAGCTGCTGCCAGGAAGATGCACGGACCCACAAACTGTTCCTGGGTTAGGCCCAGCTCCTGTAGAATTCGACTCAGGTGGAATACCTTGGATGGGCAGCTTCTCGGCCTTACTGGCAGTGCAGTCAGGTGTGGCATCAGCACAGTGCTGCCGTGTTCTCAGCGGCCATGGCATAGACTTTGTGCCAGCCTTCACCAGGGCAGCACAGCTGGCCTCTGCCTCACTGGGCGCATTGAGGTACAGATGCTTGCACTCATCACTGCTGCTTAGTGATCTCCGCCAGTTGCTTTGTGATTTTTTTCCACCTCCTGGCTGGCCCCCACAGCCCAAGTCTGCTGCAGCTGCTTCTACACCTCAGCCCGCCGCTCACTGCATTGGGCCAGCTCACTCGACTTGAGCGGGGGTGACTTGCCATCGAAGACATCCACGGGCTCGGTGCCGTTTTTCCCGACGTGGATGGGGCGGTAGAACGTGTGCGTCAGGTGGTTGGTGGTCTCACCCTCGTCACCTGCAGCACATCCTCACCCTGACGAAAGGCAGTCGGGAACTGATCAGCGCCGACAGAGGCCTCGATGGCCAGCTTGCGGCCAAAGTAGCTCTCGATGTCATTCTCCCAGATGGCACTGGGGGCCGTATCAGCCATGAGCGTGGCCAGACTTTGAATTCCATGGCCTCCAGAGCCTCAGCAGCTAGCGCTCGGTCCATTGTTGCCCAGGGCAGGACGTCCTAAGTCCCTGTCCCTCTCAGCTTGGCCGCGGATCGCCCCTCGCTCCACCACCTTCCAGAGTCTGCCAGGTTTCGGGACACCTCATGATGCTGAGAAGTACTTAGAGCTCAACAGAGTCAAGGCCCTGGAGAAAGTAAGAACTTTACATTCGTGACGAGGATTCTTGGGGTCCTCTAAAAAGGTTGCAAGCACAATGTTGCTGTGACTGCTTGTTTTCATAGGCTGGAACTAACTTACCTGCTCAACATTACTTAATTGAGATGGAAATGTCTCCAGTGACTCTCAGTCCCAGGAAGTTTGTTCTTGGAAACGTGTGACCTGTGTCATCTGTTCTCAGACTTGCGAGAGATGCAAGGGGATGTCTACTTTATGGGAAAATACCAGTGCTGCCGTCCAATTTGGAGATGTGGAGGTCAGGAGAACACCACCAGCAGTTAGGAGAAGAGATTTGGATGGAGGGACAGGACCGTCCCCCTTCTGTCATTATCGCAAGCCAAAGCAAATGGGGTCTGTTTGTGGGGTCTAACAGTGCTCCTAAACTTTGCCTTTTTAGGGTTCAGGTTATCTAGCCCTGTGTATTATTGCTGCTCAGAATTTAAGACATAGAGTCGAGCAGACCTGCATTTGAGTTTCAGCTCCACCGTGACTAGCTACGCAAACTTGAATAACTTGCTACCTTCCCTAAGTGTCTTCATTTTTGTAATGAGGCTACATTATTTCAAACAGAGAATTGCTGCAATGATTGTTAAAATGCATGTAAAGCACCCACCACATAGTAAGTTCTCAGTAAATCCTACAAACCTGATGTAATGAACCAAGAGACAGGAAATTTGGTGTTGTGATATATATGGGTTCAGAAACT